GAAAGAAAGTAATCAAACTGATTCTTCCCAAGTGCCTTAGTAAAAACATCCGCCAATTGCGCCTTAGTGGAAACATAGGATGGAGCAATTTAGCCCTCTCTAATAGCATCACGAACAATATGACAGTCAATCTCAATGTGTTTCGTACGTTCATGAAAAACTGGATTATTTCTGGCTATATGTAGGGCAGATTGACTATCACAGAACAACTTGATCGCCTTAGGGTAATAGTAAGGCTTTTAACCATTTCAACTCACATGTGATCGACGCCATGGATTGATACTCGGCCTCAGCAGAAGATGTTGATATTGTAGGTTGTTTCTTGGTCTTCCAAGAAATAGGAGAAGGACCAAGAAACACAAGCCATCCTGTCAACGAACGACGAGTAAGAAGACACGCCGCCCAATCTGAATCACACCAACCCTGCAAAGTCAGGTCACTATCTGCACTCAACAAAATAACGTGGCCTGGGGTGCCCTTTAAATATCGAACCACCCTTAGAGCTGCCTCCCAGTGCTCACTACGAGGCTCTTGCATATATTGCGAGAAAATATGAACTGAATACGCCAAACTTGGTCTAGTAACCGAGAGATAAATTAACCACCCTACTAGTCTGCGATAAGACACAAGATTCATAAGTAACTCACCACTAGCAAGGCTAAGCTTGTGATTTTTCTCAATCGGAAAACCACTTGGCTTTGCCCCTAATAACCCTACTTATGAAATAATATCTAAGGTGTATTTTCGTTAACACAAAAACAAACCAGATTTACTATGAGAAACCTCGATGCCTAAAAAATACTTCAAAAGACCAAGATCCTTCATCTTGAAACAATCACAAAGGTAAGCCTTGAATACAGTCAATGCAGCGGAATCATTCCCAGAAATAATAAGATTATCGACATAGACTAAGGCATTAATTTGAACATTGCCATTAGTGTATGTGAAAAGAGAATAATCAGAGTAAGATTATAGATGACCGTACCCTTTCAGAGCCGTAGTCAGTTTTGCAAACCAACACTTAGGAGCTTGTTTCAACCCATACAAAGACTTTCTCAAACAACGCACCAAACTCTGATCCGAGCTCTCAAAACCGGGAGGTAGTTTCATGTATACCTCCTCATCCAGATCACCATGTAGAAAGGCATTATGAACATCCATCTATTGAAGCTCCCAATTTTTAGAAGTGGCTATAGCAAGAAAAGCGCGCATAGTAATCATTTTTGCAACCGAAGCAAAAGTCTCACCATAATCGATACCTTCTTGCTGATGATTACCAAAGACAACTAACCGAGACTTGAGACGTTCAATATCACCATTAGACAAAAATTTTTTGTCTTGTACACCCATTGACTGCCTAGAGCCTTCTTGCCTGGAGGAAGATGCTCTAATGTCCAAGTCCCATTGTCTTCTAATGCCCTTATTTCCTCTTTCATAGAACGTTGCCAACCTTCAGATTTCATGGCTTCTTTAAAGGATCTTGGATCCTTTCCCTGAACAACTGCTACAAGAAACTTGTGATAATTCACAGAAAAAATGTCACAATTTATATAGTGCGCTAAAGGATAAGGCGTACCTGAAGGAAAATTGGAAGACGGAGTGGAAGGAGACGGATTTTTAGCAAATATAGAATGAGTCACATAATCCCGAAGCTTGATGGATGGAAACTTGTCACAGTGGCCATGACCCATGGGAGAGTGGGCTGTGGACTGCTGCTGTACCGAGCTGCTGTCTTTGGTAGTTACTGTGTGCTGCTACAGAACTTCGGCAGAAGTGGGAGACGCATCGTCCGTGAGCTGTTGCGGGCCAGAGGGAGCTGGGCTGATTGGTCTGCTGTCCTCGGCTGTACCCATATCAGCAGGGCTGCGAGGCTGGGATGTAGCAGACCCAACGCCCGAGGGATTTCCAGCGCCCTGGACAGAAACCGGGGCTGGTTGTTGCTCTCCTATGCCAAAGCTCGTTGGGTCAGTGCGTGGGGAAGTAACAGCCACCTCCTCGTCTGTACCCCCACTATTGCCCTCAAAAAATACACCACTTTCATCCCACAACTCATATTCAATAAAATCATCATGCACATCACAATTAGGCTCATAAACCTGAGACTTAATATTTACATCTTCCGGACAACTAAACGGAAACACATCTTCAATGAATTTAACATCACGAGAAACAAAGAATACCTTAGACTCCAAATCATACAATCTCCACCCTTTCTTCCCATATGGATAACCCACAAACACACACTTTCGACTTCAACTAGCAAATTTATCACCATTCGTTTTCTGATTGTGAGCGAAACAAAGACACCCAAACGTGCGAATAGAATCAAAATGAGGTGGTTTATTAAAAAGAATTTCGAATGGAGTTTTGTTTTGAAGTAAAGGAGTAGGAGTTCGATTAATTAAGTGAGCGGCAGCAAGAACACACTCACCCCAAAAATAAATGGGCAATTTGGCTTGAAATCTGAAGGCTCTCCCTACTTCCAAAATGTGTTTATGTTTTCTCTTTACCCTCCTGTTTTGTTGCGGTGTACCCACACAAGAGGTTTGAAATATAATCCCAGTTGCAGCAAAAAAACCAAGCAAATAATTAAACTCGGTACCATTGTCACTTTGCACAACTTTAGTTGACTGGGAAAATTGTCTGTCTACCATAGCAACAAACGACAAAAACATACGAAACACCTCAGTTTTATCAATCAACAAATATATCCACACTACTCTAGGATAATTATCAACAATTGTCAAAAATTAACGAGCTCCGCACGACGAAACATAACAATATGGACCCCATATCACAATAAACTTTCTCAAATATTCTAGACGCTTTATTATCACTCAAAGGAAATCTATCTCTAGGATGTTTCGCACGCATACAAATTTCACACCCTTTATCAAGACTATCTTTACAATTAACAGTAGGAAGCAACTTAACTACTTTCTCGGAAGGATGACCCATACGACGATGCCATAGCTCCAAATTAGACCTTGCGTCAATAACACCTACATGATGCACGGAATCCGATTTGCTAAAATAGTACAATCCGTCCCTCCGAGCTCCGGTTCCAATCAACTCCTTTGTTTGATCCTGTATAGCACACATATATGAGTTAAATTGGACAATACAATTAAGCTCATCATTAAGCTGTGAAACAAAAAGTAAATTACAACTCAAATTAGGGACGTAGAGCACCCCAGTTAGAGTGATTTTGTCCGACAAACAAACTGAACCAATAAGAGAAATCAACACTATTTCACCGTTCGGTAACCCTACAGGACATTCAAAGCTCTTTGTATCAAAATGCCAAGATTTTTCTCCTGTAACATGATGCGTGGCTCCTGTATCAATAATCCAAGCGGTATCATCAAACTTATCATTCGAACAATTTTCGAAAATTTTGGTATTACCCACCAAATTTGTAATTGTATGCCATTGTTCACTTGGAAATAATTGGCCACTCGAACTCATAATCTGATTGTTGGAAGATGTAGCACTACTATTGCACTCATAATCTGGTGGCGGTGGATTGCTGCCATCCACCATGGTTCACCGAAAAAAATGTTTTGTGTTTTTTTTTTTCCTTTTTGTACCATGATAAACGGGTCTAGGCCACACCCATCACAAGTGCCCACTATACAAGTCCAATGAGGTTCTACCTCAAAACCACATGACAATAAGGGGAGTAGCCCCTTAGCTTTATAAAGTGGACACAACTTTCTTGTTTCTTCAATGTTGGATACACTTCCCAACACTTTCATACTCTTTCGATATGGGACAACACTTTCACTTACATGTGGCACTCACATGTGAGTTTTCTCATGGGCTCAACACTCCCCCTCACATGTGAATTGTCCATAATACTAGACCAGATCACAACACAACCCAACCTAGGCTTTGATACCATGATTTAACCTGCTCTTGATACCATGCTAAATTGAATGAACATAATAGCTTAAATCTCATTGATGGCTGCCATGACCAATATATAATACAAGTTTACCCTAATGAGATAGAATTAGGAAACTAACAAAAGATAGCCAAAAGATATTCTAGCCATAAAATATGGTCACAAAATATATCCTATAATTTCCCAAATTATATCCTCAATATTTCCCTACTTTTAATAGTTAACTAGTGTGTGGCTCGGGCGATGCCCAGCGTTGCTAGTTTGTACTTCTTTAATTTAATAATTATGTTCTACTGTTTGTATAGTTATTGTGTGGTTCGGGCATTGTCTTGGGTGTTATTGTTTTTTTTTTTTTACCTCATATGTATTTATTTTCTAATCTTGTGAAATATAAATAAAAAATATAACCCCTAATTTACATAATATATTAAAGGAATATATAATGTTAATTATGTGAAATTTAAAATGTTAATCAAAGTTGGTTGAGATGGCAAATGTATGACCTTTGTATTTTGGAGGTTATGGGTTTGATTCTCTCTCAAAGCATAATTTATTTTGTTAAATGAAGTGGCAAGCTTATGTGGTGCATAAACCTTAAGATAGTGACATGGCATTGTCCAAATACTTTGAAGATTAAGTAATCATATAATAATAAACGAATACAATATATATATATATATATATATATATATATATATATATATATATATATATATATATAGATACATGGAGGAATTTAGGTACGTCTTCTCATAACACCGTGACCTAAACTATCAAGGAGTAAAAAATGAGCAAACTTACTATCTAAAAACGAATCTATCTATATCTTGATGAATCGGAGTATGTATGCTATTCCCCTCACTTAGACCCTGTTCACTTTACTTTACAAAATTATTTTCGGTAAAAATAATTTCAGTTCAGTAAAAATAATTTATGTTCAGCAAAAATAAGTTCAGATCAATAAAAATAAGTTTAGTTTAGTAAAAATAATTTCAGTTCAGTAAAAATCAATAACTTTAAAGAATAAATATAATAAAAAATCAGTTAAATAATTTCAGTTCAGCAAAAATAATTTAAGTTCAGCAAAAATAATTTCATTTCAGTTAAAAATAATATTAGTTCAGCAAAAATAACGTGAAATGAATATTGCCTTATTCAACTCTATCAAAAGGTTAACTAAAAAGAACTTGAAATAATGAGGCGGCTTCTTTAATTTGTCCTTACCAATAACTTACTTTATTTTAGTTAGACTTTCCACACCCCTAACCCTATAAATACCCAATCTATTTCTCATTCTTTACATATCGAATTCATTCTCTTCTTCACTACCAAATCTTCTTACTAAACTAAGCCTTTTATTCTTTTAGATAATTATCCTTAGCTCTCTTAAATTTATCACTCCTTAATCATGGGTGTTTTCACATACACATTGGCCGACATCACCAGCCCAGTCGCTGCGTCTCGGCTGTTCCAAGCTCTAGCCCTTGACAACCATAACTTTGTTCCTAAGGCATTGCCTCACTTGGCTAAATCCGTTGTGTTTGTTGAAGGCGACTCCACCACTGTTGGATGTATCAAGCAGATCAATTTCCCCGATGGTTAGTTTATTAATTAAACGTTACTCCTTCTTGTGTGTATAACATGCTAACATCCGCTAATATAACACATTAACATACACCTATTATTGTTTTGTAAATAATTCAACTTCTTTTTATAAGGTTGCTTTTACTTTTCTCAATGTACAACTTTGATTTTTTTTTTTTTTTTTTTTTTTTTTTTGTAAATAAGGTACTCCCTCTGTTTTTTTTTTTGCCCCATATAAAATATTTAGGTTAACTTTAAATAACTTTGACTACAAATTCTCACTAATCTACAAGAGATAACATACTCATGTGAAGATCTTGTTGGATTCGTCAAATTGTATACTATATTTATATCAAGTTTATATTATTTTTGCGCTTATAAAAATGAAGATATATACATTTTAACACGCGTCTCGGATACCATAAAAAGTCAAATGAGATATAAAAAAAAAAGGGATAAAGCGAATAACTTTTACTTATCTCAATGTATAACTTTAATCATTAAATTTTAACTTTTTTTACGAAGTTGACTTTTACTTTTTTAAATGTACAACTTTGATCATTAATAATATTAATATTACGTTGATCATTTGTCCAGAGGCTCCATTCAAATATGTGAAAAATAGAGTGGACGAGATTGATTCCGGCAACTTCTACCTAAAGTACACTTGCATTGAAGGAGATGTGTTCCCTGATACAGTGGAGTACGCTGTGTACGAAGATAAGTATGATGTATCTGAAGCCGGAACTCGGTGCAAGATGGTGGCACACTACCACATGAAGGGAGACAATGTGATGAAGGATGAGGATATTGAGAAGGCCAAAGAAGGAATTCAGAAGATGTTTAAGGCTGTTGAAGAGCATCTCATTGCCAACCCTCAAGTTTATGCTTGAACTATTTAATTATTTATTCAAAGTTTTATGAGTGATTTAACTAAAAAAATTGAAGTTATAATTGAGTATGTAATGTGTGCGGTTTTCAATTTTCCTGCTTTTTTGGGGGTGGTTTGGGAGAAATAATAAAGTGTGAGATCGAAAAGTATGTGCTTGTTGAGATGTAAATTGCGAAAATGTAAGAGATGTTAAGTTTCACTTACTAATGAAAGTATTTATGTGACTAAAACAAGCTATAAAGAAGTAAATGTTGTTCTTGATTATAATTATTTATTTCTATTTTAATTTTATATAAATCGATCCCCCAAGGGATGGCATATACGAACCTCCCTTTAAGAGCAAGATCACAATCGATAACTAATGGTAAAAGTGTAATCAATTCATTGCACCTAAACTTAAAAGCCTCATATAAATGTATATGTTAAATACGAGCCTAGGTCATGCCTGTCATAAAAATGAAAGTCCACTTATATAATCTAATGAGGTTCCTTTCAAAAATCATACGATTTTAGGAGTAATAGTTCATTAACCTTATAGAGTGCTTATCATATTTTATTGAAGTGCGACACTCTTTTTTAGAACTTATTGAACATGACTTAAATAGTTATGTGTTATTTTTATCATCATATTTTATAAAATTTATCAAAATAAGACATTTAAATTAAAAACCACCTTAAATAATCAATATTTTGTTAGAAACAAACACCTCGACCTATTTAATATTTTTGGAAGACGCTTTACTCATATTTTTTTAATTTTGACAAAAACCACCATCAACTACGTATAAAAATTTATATCCAGATTCCAATCACAGTGATTGTTGTAGCAATTGTAAGCTCTGTAAATGTCAAAACCAAAAATTTAAGGTTCTTGGCAAAAAAAAAAAAAAAAAAAAACTTTATATCAGCTCTAGTAACGCTGTAACGGATGATGGGGTAATACACGAAGATTTGGAGGGAGTGAATAAGGTGGCTGTGGATTACTTTAAGAGTTTATTTACGTCTTCTCTGCCCGAAAATTTTGATGATGCTCTAGTTGGCAGAGAAAACAGAGTGACGACCTCAATGGATGAGATTTTGTGTGCCGAGTACTCTGATGGCGAAGTTCTTCAAGCTCTGAAACAAATGCATCTCTTGAAAGCCCCGGGTTCTGATGGGTTATGTGCTCCCTATTTTTAAGACTTATTGGCATATTGTGGGGCCTGCCGTGACTACTGTGGTAATTGGAGTTTTACAGGGTGAGATGATTCCGAAGGAAATTAATGAAACTTTTATTGTTCTTATTCCGAAGAAGAAGGCCCAGATAAAATGTCAGAGTTCCGCCCTATAAGTTTGTGCAATGTGGTCTATAAGCTCGTCTCTAAAGTTCTAGCTAATAGATTGAAATCGTTTTTGTCTGAAATTACTTCTCTTAATCAGAGTGCTTTTACTCCCGGAAGGTTGATTACAGATAACATTTTAGCAGCTTTTGAGGTTTTTCACTATATGAAAAATTCTAGCAGTGAGACGGGGTCGTTAGTTCTGAAGCTGGACATGGCAAAAGCATGTGATAGGGTGGAGTGGACGTTTTTTAGAGCTGTAATGGAAAATTTTGGTTTTGCAGAGTGCTGGATTGACAGGGTTATGCATTGTGTTTCTTCAGTGTCGTTCTCTATTTTGATAAATGGAGCACCTTCGGGGGAGTTTACTCCGGCTAGGGGTTTACGTCAAAGTGATCCATTATCCCCCTATTTGTTTATTTTGTGTGCGGAGGCATTGTCGGGTTTGTTAAATAAGGAAGTGGAGAGACCGAGAGAGGTGGGCTTCATGGAGTGAGAGTGGCTGCTACGGCTCCTTCTATATCTCATTTACTATTTGCAGATGACTATCATTTTTTCGAAAGCATCCTTGGAAGAGGTTGGTAATATTCGAAAGGTGATCCAGATCTATGAGAGTGCGTCGGGTCAGATGGTGAATTTGGATAAAAACTACGGTGTCCTTTAGTAAAGGAAATCCGGAGTCAAGAAGAGTAGAGTTAGCCAGAGTTTTTAGGGGGGAAAAGGGTGGACATTCATGATAAGTTTTTGGGGCTTCTAACGGTGGTAGGGAGATCTAAGAGAGTGATTACGAGGGGCGTTAGGGAGAAATTATGGAAGCGATTGCAGGGATGGAAGGGGGTTTTTTTTTTTTATCTAAAGCCGGTCGGGAAACCTTGATTAAGGCAGCGGCCTAATCTATTCCGACCTATGCGATGAGTGTGTTTAAATTCCCTTCTTCATTTTTGTGATGAAGTGCGTTCTTTGGTGTCGAATTTCTAGTGGGGTCAAAAGAAAGGGGAACGGAAAATTCACTAGTTGGCATGGAAGAAGCTCTGTGAGCCAAAAGCTGTTGGTGGTCTGGGTTTGATTTTGAATACTTTAATGCGGCTTTGTTGGGTAAACAGGCATGGAGACTAATGATGGTACCGGATAGCTTTGATAGCAAAAATGTTGAAAAGTTCGATAGTATGTGGATGGGGATTATATGTCATCAGAGTTGGGGAATAATCCAAGTTATACGTGGCGAGGAATTTGGGGTGTCAAATGGGTATTGCAAAGGGGGTTGAGAGTGAGGATCGGGGATGGTCTTAAAACTTCAGTTTGGAGCAGCCCATGGATACCAGAAAAGTCATTTCTCCTCGTGGTAATGCCAGGGATGACTTAATGGTATGCGATTTGATTCACCTTCCCACTGCAACTTGGAACTACTCTCTAATCAAAGAGCTCTTCTTACCTTTTGAGAGGGAAAGAATTCCAAGCATCCCTCTTAGTATTCGATTGCTGGAAGACTCTTGGTGCTGGGACTTAGAAAAGAATGGGGAATTTTATTTCCGCTCAGCTTTTCGTGCTATATTTGGGGAATGTGCTAATGAGAATGTAGCATCGTCTTCGGAAAGATCAAATTTCTGGGGTAAGATCTGGAGTGTTAATACTTTACCAAGGGTAAAGATTTTTTTCTGGAGGCTAGGGCCTGTAATGGTGTTTTACCTACAGTTCAAGGACTGAAAAAAAGGAGTGTGGGGGCTGATGCAGTGTGTGGGATTTGTGGGGCGGAAGACGAGAAAGAGCTACATTGTCTTAGGGGATAGATGTGTGATAGCCAAGCTTATTTGGGACGAGTGTGCTATGGGGAATGAGATCAGTGGGTTCTTTCGTGATTTTAATGAGATGGCCTGGGCATGTTTTGAAAGGTTTCCAAGAGCTGAGCTTGGTCTGTTTATGACAGTTTGTTGGGTTATTTGGCTGGCCAGAAATAAATGGATCTTTCAAGGAGAGAAATGTGACCCTAAGAAGTCCCTAGAGTATGTGACAAAGCTCATGAGTGAGTTAGCGGTGGAGGGTGTGGAGGTGGGGTGTGCAGGGAACCAGACATAAGAGGTGGAAAGCTCCTGCTGCAGGGTGCTATAAGCTGAATGTAGACGGGAGTACAGACGAGGGGAGAGGTTCTTCTGCTAGGGTTGTTATTAGGGGGGCTGATGGTGAGGCTCAGCTTGCTGCTACTTGGAAGGTGGATGACTGCTGGTCACCGAATGTCAGTGAAGCAAAAGCAATTCTTTTTGGACTACAAGTGGCTACAGAATTTGGTTATCGAAGGCTAGTTGTTGAGAGTGATTGTCTTGGTGTGGTGAATGCAATTCAATCGCAAGAGAGAGGAGGAAATGACTTCTTCTTAGTTCTTGGTGATGTTTATCATGTTTGTAGTTTCTTTGAGTTTATTACTTGGAGTTATGTTAGTAGAGAAGGAAATAAGGTAGCTCACGAACTTGCGCACTATGTGCCGTGAGTTGCTGGTAGGAGAGTGTGGTTGTCTGACTTTCCTTCTTGTATTGCATCATTTTTGGCTTCAGATAAGTCTTTTAATGAAAGTTAGTTGCCGTGGAGGCTTTTTTTTAAAAAAAATAAAAAAACTGAAATTTACAAGAACTTGTACTTCCGTCGTTTCTTTTTAGTTGCAACATTTTCTTATTTTAAAAATTATTATTTGTTAATTACTTACCACACTTTTCATTTTTGACATTTTTTTTTCTCTCTATCTCTCTGACTCTCTCCTACCCACATGGGTTCCTATTAATTTTCTTTCTTTCTATCTATCTCATCTTCAAAAATTGCCTAACAGAGCGTGAAAATAAAAGTATTGCATTTTAAAAAACGGAGGAAATAGATGAGATACTGAACTTTGGAAAGTTACAAACAAGTTAACAAGGTACTAAGGGTGCATTTTACTCACCTGATTTTTACTTATTTGAACTTATCTGATCTTATCTGAACTTATTAGCCCTTATTAGAACTTATTTTAGTTATAAATTGAATTTGAGTAGCCCTCATTAACCCTTATCACAACTTACCTGAACTTATTTTTTTTAACTTATTTGAATTTATTAACCTATATTTGATCTTATTTTTCGTAAAATAAGTGAAAATAAGGTGAACAGGACAAGGCGTAAACCAGGTTAGCTCTCCTAATTATCTTGTACGTTTTTTTTTTTGAAGGAAATTATCTTATACTAAAAAAAAAGGAAATTAAATACAAAGTATATGAAGTATGTCATAATTAAATGAAGGTATTGAAATTTGAATTTAAGAAAAACATCTACTAATGGCATCACTAGGAGTATTTATGAGACGAGACAACATGTGGGCTACTCGAGCTCGAGATTGACTCAAAATGTTAATGAGTTGAGTCGAACAATCCAATACTCGACTCGAAAACTCGTGAGAAACTCGAATTCCTTTGTACATTATTATATTTAATAAAAAAAAAAAATTGATTCAAAATTTAATTTACAATAATAATTTATAAATAAATAATATTTATGTACTCATATCATCAACATGTATATTTCTTATAATACAAATTTAAAAGAAGAAATACATGTTACACTAAATAGGGGGTTCTATTAGGACCGAATCAATTAACAAGCTACTCAAAATCGACTAGATCAAAACTCCACTTAGTCAAAACTCGACTCGATACGTTAACGAGTCGAGTCGAGCCGAGTCGAGATACCCCTAGGCATCACCAACACAGCTTTCTTATTGCTCCCATCTTCTTCAACAGCTTCTTCAACTAATTCAACTGAACCAAGAATTGGTCCTCGCTTTCTTACAGCTATTGAAATGGTTGATCGATACTCTGATTTTGAGCTCAAGCTCGCCTATCAAACCTTAATTCATCTCATGAACAACAACACTCTCAAGTATTTCTTTTTTTTCTTTTTTTTTTCCGGTTCAATTTGATGATTAGCTGCCATAATTTTGATTATAGTTGTTGATTTTTAATGCAGATTAGGATAGTTGATGAGTTATTTATGCGTTCGAAGCTTTTTAGACCCCTAACTACTGTGAATTTGGATCAATTGTTAGGCAGTTAATTGTTGAGCTAGGATATAAATTAATTACTTCTTTTATGTCAATCTTTATTTTCCTGCATTTTTGTGATCTATGTACATTAATGATAGATAAAGTTTACCTCCGGTGACCGCTGGAGTACCTAATTTACTAAATTGTAACTTTTGGTGAACACCAAGAAAAATTGTGGGTGTAAGACGAGAGATAATTGATAGTGAAATACGGAGTAGGAGAGAAATAATATTAGAAGTGTTTCCGAAAAATTCTTATTGTTGGAGGTGAAATGGCTGTGATGAACCTTTATTAAAATTGATGTTATGCTCTATGGCTCCCATGGTTCAAAGCATTGGGCTCTGGTTGTACCTTGTTGTAAGATAATAGTTTCCCCCTCTCATATTCCATAGATTTGTTTATGTGAATTAATAGGATTGGAATAATATTAATTTTTTAATTATTCATTTGGTGATCGCTGTCATGTAGTTGATAAGGATCACATGTATTAGTGATACACAATCAGGAAATAGGTGGTGTTACCATAGACTTGTTCAAAGAGTTGCATAATTAATACAAATGCAAGTATTTCTATATATATTGTGACAGCCAGAAATGCATCAATAAACTAATGGAATGATTAAATGTTGACTTTGCATATGAACTGATAACTTCACCATAGCATGGCAACCTAAATTCAGTTCATCACTTTTAATTTAGTCTTCTTCCCTGATATCTCTCTTCTTCGATTATTTGACACTAAAATGGCCGAAGCAATCATCTTGACTGTTGCGAAACTCATTCTAGGAAAGATCGGTTCTTCCCCAGGTGATCTTGTCTATACCTACATTACTGAAGAGATCAAAGGTGCAAAGTCAGTTAAGAAAGATCTCAAGACCATAGCCGACAAATTGGAGGCCATTTGTGCTGTTCTTGAAGTTGCAGAGGAGGAGCAATTAGCTAATAAGGCTAACAAAATCTGGCTAAGAGATCTTAAGAGCATTGTTTATGATATTGATGACCTCTTGGATGAAGTGGCCTTTGATGTTATGCAACGTCGTGTTAATCAAGGCCAACTTGGACGTCAGTTCAGGTACTATCTTTCCTTTTCAAATCCTGTCATTTCAACCTTTGGTTTGAGTCACAAAATAAACAACCTCCGCAAAAAGCTAGAAAATATAGTGGCTAAGAAAAATGATTTTGAGTTAACCAAGTGTCCAGTTAAAACCTCTAAGGATGAGATTAAAGAACCTTTAGGCGGATGTGCGTTTGTGTATGAGCCCGCTATTAAGGGAAGAAATGAGGCTAAGCAAGATATTATTAACATATTGAACGGTGTCAATAATGTTAGTAAACTCTCAGTGCTTCCTATAGTCGGAATGGGTGGGATCGGAAAAACAGCATTAGCTAGGTTAGTGAAACATGATATTGAACACTTTGATCCTAAACTGTGGGCATGTGTATCGAACAAGTTTGATGTTTGTAAGATTATAGAGGACATTGTAAAAGATGGTAGTGATGATAATATAGGGAACCTTAATTCAAATACGTTGTTGAAAAAGCTCCATAATTTATTGAACGGGAAAAGATACTTTCTTGTGTTGGATGATGTTTGGGTAGATAACATAGACTTGTGGAATGACCTTATGAACATACTTAAAATTGGCAAAGCTGGTAGTGTAATTTTGATCACTACAAGAATGGCTGAAGTTGCCTCAGTTACTCGAACTATGGAACCTTATAACTTGGACAAGCTTCCATTTCCTGTTTGTTGGTCCATATTTAAGCAATTAGCATTCATCGAAGGTGACGAAGCAAAGTATGACAGCCTTTACGAGATTGGGAGGTCTATAGTCGAGAAATGTTGTGGCATCCCTCTTGTTGTGAAGACTTTGGGGAGTTTGTTGAGGTTAAATAGGGACAAGCAAGAATGGCAACGAATTAGTAATATGGATAGCTTTACCGAGTTGAATCATCAATATGATAAGGTGATGCAACTCTTAAAATTAAGCTATGACTCACTTCCGTCTCACTTGAAACCATGTTTTGCTTACATGTCATTATATGTGAAGGATTTGCATCTTTCTGCGGGGTATATACCATATATGTGGAGTGCACTTGGTCTATTGCCACAAAGCAATGGAAACAAAGATATTGAAGTTTTGGGGAACGAGTATCTTAAGAAACTAGCATCAATGTCTCTTCTACAAGAGCCGAGTTTTCGGTCAAATGGATGGCTTGAAGGGTGTAAAATGCATGATCTCTTGCATGATCTTGCTCTGAACGTTATGGGGGAAGAACTAGCAGTCGTAACTCAAGATGAAGTCATGGTTTCAGAATTTACTAGGCATATAGTTTGGGGATATGAGAGTTCTAATAGTTTAGAGGATGTTAAATTTCCTAAAGAGCTTCTGAAGGCCAAGAGTGCACGAACATTCCGACTTGGTTTTAAAATAAATTATATAAGCCAATCATTTGTTCAAAAAATTCTGTCCACTTTTAGTTGTTTACGCATCCTGGAACTTGAAGGTAGTTCGTTTGAAGAACTGCCAAGCTTGATCGGGAACTTGAAACATTTGAGATATCTCGACTTGTCAGGGAATTCTATCATTCAATCTCTTCCAGAAGAAATAGGTGACTTGTTAAATCTAGAAGCGTTTTATCTAGATGGATGTGAGCTATTAAAAGAGCTTCCAAGGGATATTCACCGGCTACAGAATTTAAGAAGTTTTACAGTGACAACATGCCAGAAGAGTTTAACTAGCACCAAATTGAATCAATTGAGTTGTCTTCGTTACATTTGGTTTAGTTCGTGTAAGAGATTAGAATCCTTATGGAACAACAACATTTTTGTAACAGGCCTCACTTCGCTGCAGACCTTGATCATTGAGGACTGTCCGAAATTGACAAGTCTTTCAAACAGCATGAAGTTCAATGGTCTTCAGACGTTAGAACTAGATAATTGTACAGAGCTAGATTTGGAGGAAGGAGTTGGCTTGCAAGGCCTTCAAAGCCTTCGGACATTAAGCATAACAGGAATACCGAAGTTAGCAAGTCTGCCAAATTGTATTCAGTCTGCTACGGCCTCCCTTCAAAATCTCTATATAGATAATTGTGTTGGTTTGGTGGAGCTTCCAAATTGGTTACAACATTTTTCCTCTCTTCAGAAATTGAGAATCAAAGACTGTCAAAATCTCTTGGCCGTGCCCAAGGGATTTCAACGTCTTAGATCTCTGCAAGAACTCTGCATTATGAATTGCCCGCACCTATTACAAAGATTTGCTATACCAAGCGGAAAAGATTACTATCTGATACGACATGTCCCCAAAATCTGGCTTAATAATGTTCCATACACTGTAAGAAGTAAATGATTGAGCAGGTATTCATTTCTATTCTCACTAATGGTACTGTTGTATATCTCTCTTGCAGTCTTTCTGCTTGGTAAATGATAATTTGATCTTCCCATAAATGTTAAGTACTTGAAATCATCAGTTGGAATTAAATCTGTGTTATAAAATCTAGTAATTTAATTCTATACTTTTGACATAAATAATTTAAATATTAACATTTAATGATAAGGTTGTTCTAATTATTTTCCAAAACATTACAGTCTGTCTTTTTGTGCAGATATATTTACTTTTGTGGTGTTGCTGAAGTCCATCAAACTATTATGCAGACCATAATTGTCAAATTCTTAGCTTCTGATGATCGAATGTGCATGTATTAGTTTTGCTATGAACTTTGAAGAGTTCCATCCTGCTCCGGTGGGAGAGCTGTACCAAGATTCAAGACTCCCTGTTGCCCATCTCAACAAGTTGAGTCATAAAGGGACTTTTTAAACCAATCAAGCTCGGCGAAGATGATGGAGAACTCATTTTGTGACTTTGAAGCCCAGTTTGAGCCTCACTTTTTATTTGTACCTACTTGCTGGGTTGACTAATTCGACGAAGTATTTGTATGAGATATAGTCAAGTCATGCACAATTATATAGGCATGTATGATTTTAATAATTTCATCCTTAATACATTACTAAGTATAATATTGATTGCTTTGGTAAAGAAATATTACTGATTACAAAAAGCTAAGCATTGTGTTACCTCTCACAATCCCAACTAGGCATATTTTTGAATGCAAGTTGGGTGTCTTTTGGAATTTCTTTTCAAGGTATAATGGTTTGGAATGTCTAGTAGCCAATAAGGCTAATAGATTAGAGCACTACTCTCCATATATCAACATTTTCTTACTTTGATGTTTAACTTGTCAAACCTACACCCATATTGTGTCGTCGCATGCATTATAGCATTCTAAAGTCTAAGACGACACAAAATTTGATGATTTGGTCTCACTTGTATCCGCCTTTGGCTTGCTCAACCGTCATAAGCCCCAAACACCTTGCTCGTGGTTTTTGGGCAAGAGTATCCTTTTAAAATCATATGTATCTAGTGTTGCTACATGCTCACAAGCCCATTAATTTCCACCCTAATTAAGTACCCTTACCACCAAATAAGTAAGAGAGTGCCTTAAGATCTAGACGAGACATGATGGTAAATAGAGATTAGGGGAGTTGTAGATTTATCAATAATCTATGTCAAGTTCTCATCAGTTAATCTTGCTTCCCAATCTAAGAGCTTTACTACCATATATATCCGTTAGTAGTTGAGTAACATTGTTTGACCAATATAGTCTCATTGGAGTCAAATTGTTTTGAGATATTCACACTTGTTCACCAACTCTGCTTCACCTACTCTTGCCTCTCTTCACCGTCTTTTTACCTGTTTTTAATGCAAAAGTATGACCTTGATCGAGCCTTTCTCCTAAAATGATTTTACAAAATAAAAATAAATACTTTATTCTTTTTATTAAAAAAATAATATCACCCTTTAATTAACTTTTGCATTTTAAAAATACTTTGTATAGTACTTTATACACATTGTGTGTGCTTAGATTTCTAGTAGTCAATTAAGTGATCAGATAATATTAAACGAGTAATTATATAAAGAACTCTATTCTCTACACATTTTTCAGCAAGGGCTGCTCCGAAAGTTACTTACAAAAAAGGACTTGGAATGAGCTGATGTAGCTTCTTTGTCCTTACCAAGTTTGCTTTTGCTCAACAGCCACAACCCTTATAAATACCCAATCAAATCCTCATTATTTGCATATCCAATTATCTCATTATCAACTAATTAGCAAATCTTCTTACTAAACTAATCTCTTCTTTCTTTTTAATATCTTGCCTTAACTTTGTTACTTAATCATGGGTGTTTTCACATGCACATTGGCCGACATCACCAGCCCAGTCGCCGCCTCCCGGTTGTTCCAAGCTCTAGCCCTTGACAACCATAACTTTGTTCCTAAGGCTTTGCCTCAATTTGCTAAATCTGTTGAGTTTGTTGAAGGCGATTCCACCACTGTTGGATGCATCAAGCAGATCAATTTCCCCGATGGTTAGTTTTCTTACAACTACGTACACATCTACATCAATTCCCTCCGTTTTGTTTTTTTTTTAATCTATCATAACTTTTACGTGTGATTATACATAAATTCAACCATTAATAATGTAAAGCTAAAATTATAAAAGTTTCTAAATGGTCTGTATGCCATCGTTTAGAAACTTTTATAACTAACAATATACAATACTTAATTTAACAGCTTAATTAGTACAACTTTTACATACGTATATACTACAGTTAATCAGTTATATGTTAATATGTTATTATTGAAGGATTATGAAATTTATAATACTAAATACACATGATTCTAATTTATAGTTATCTTATTCTTAATAATAATATAAATCATGTTGATCATTTTTGCAGAGGCTCCATTCAAATATGTGAAAAACAGAGTGGACGAGATTGATTCCAACAACTTCTACCTAAAGTACACTTGCATTGAAGGAGATGCGTTTCCTGATACTGTGGAGTACGCTGTGTATGAAGACAAGTACGAGGTGTCTGAAGCCGGAACCCGGTGCAAGATGGTAGCACACTATCACATGAAGGGAGACAGTGTGATGAAGGAAGAAGATCTTCAAAAGGCCAAAGAAGGAATTCACAAGGTGTTTAAGGCTGTTGAAGAGCACCTCATTGCCAACCCTCAAGTTTATGCTTGAACTACTACTGTACAACTTTATTAAGTGTTTGTGTCAAAAAAAAAAAAAAAGAAAAAAAAAAATCCTTTATTAAGTGTAATGAGTGACGAAAAATGAGATTATGTAATGTGTGTGGAAATTTGCCTCCTTTTTTGGGGTGTGGTTTAATTTGAGATGTGAATTGTGAAGTTGTATGAGATGTTAAGTTTCATGTGAGTGAAATTTTGTATGTGATTAATAAACAAAAAGCTAAAGAAGAGTTATGAATGGTAATATGGTATATGTCCAATTTTCAAGGTGTTTGCTCTCATTATTGTTTATTTCATAAGAAAATGCAACACTCTTTTAATTGACAGAGTTTACTAATTTTATTTAAGTGTTTTTTTTTTTTTTTTTCTTTCTATCCCCTGCCGATATATTATATATATCATGCACACCTACTTTATTTACAATGCAATAATAATTAAGTATCGTACAACAAATTAAATGGCTCTTAAAGCTCAAGTACCCTTCAAGAAGGGTTGATAATGAAGCCAATTGCCATCTTGCACAATGGAGGATTGAAAGTCATTTGACCTCATATTGGAAATCTAGTAGAGAGCTCCACAAGGATGTTTGTGAATTGCATGCAAATGAGAAGGGGTGCGTGTTAAGTAATACGGAGTACTTTTTATGGAAAACTCTAATTAAGTTGGTTTACATTAAAGAAAAAGGACAAGTCTAGGATGACTATACTCTCTCAGTCCCTTTTTGTTTGTAACATAAACTCACTTTTTGTGAGAGTTTTGGGCATAATGTTGCAAACAATAAGGGACACAAGAGGTAATATATAACTAAGTTTAGAAAGTCATTCTGCATTTCTACCTATTACCAAATTAATGATTTTAAAATAGAACCTTGCAAGCTTTATTTGTATGTGATATAATGATATATATATGGATATACCCCTCCAACGTGGGCTTAGTTTTGCTACATGAATATTTATCATGGTATCACAACCAGACATAACTAAGAACTGTGAAATATAACCATGGTCGGCGACAATGACGACTACTTCTTCATCGCCACCCCCAAAAGATAGAATGAAATTCCCCTTTTTTCTCGATCTGGAATACTCACCCATCCCCTCTTCAAGGAGTTAATTACAGCATAATAATAAATGGGTTGGGGCAGTACAAACGACACTAATTATTGTTCACTGCAAAGATGGCATTCTGGATGGATATTGTAGGTCACAAGAACATCATATTTTCAGAATTCATGCATCTTCAATAATTAGGATTGTTTTTACCTTGTTTCAAGTTAGTTGCACAATTTTCTCATATGTCTGTCTCAATTTAATTTATAACACTTCCTTTTATGACATGAACACACTAATATTTACATTTTCATTATTTTCACCACCAAAAATTATGGTCTCGTACTCTTTTGTATTCAATTATTCACTACTCGTATTAGTCTATTACCTACGACTGATCACATTGATAAACAAGCAATAAATTATCATGCATAAAAATGTAGTTGGTGGAATGATTGAATTGGAGTATTACGTATGATTTTTATTTTATTGTATATTAGCAGATGCTTGTAACTACCAATGCACCTTTTGAGTTAAAAAAATAGTTTGATACGTAGTATATAGCATGTTGAGCCTATAATATGGTAAAGTATATACAAGTACGTTGGAAGTCTAGTCATATTTCACCACTATACTTTTTGATAGAGTATAAAATATAATCATGGGCCTCAACCATCAGCTTATGCTTTTGGTTAAGTTGGTCCTATAACATGGTATCGGAGTCAACGTGACACAGAGGTCACGGATTCGAATCTCATCCACCCCCCACCTGTGACTGGAATATTAAGCGCTGGGTATGAGAAGACATAATCTTGTGCCTCAACCATCAGCTTTTGGTTGAGTTGGTTCTCTAACATGGTATCAATCAGTCAATAATTAATTATGACATAAAAAATAAATAAAAATCAGCCAATAAAAAATTAATATTATGATAGTCCTTTTAAGGATGACTAACATAGAATTTTATACTTTTAATAATTAAATGGGACAAATAAAATGATACGAAACTCCCAATCAATCTCCTTCCGGTATAAATCTCAGTAATGTCAAGCTATATTCAATGTAGGTTAGAAGTAAGTTTCTAATTAACCCCGAAATCGGGTGGGAAAATGGTGGAACTTTATCATCATCTAAAAATCTAGGTTTCAAAGTTGAAAGCTTACTATAATTCGTTGAGTAGAGAATTTTATGATCAATGTACATTGCATAATCATCTCCTTTGCGTTAAATTCTATTGAGACACACTCGTTTCAATTCACCTACTCTCATTCTTTCACCTACTCTTGCCTCACCAGCCAGGCCGCCTTCACCGTCTTTTACCGACTTGTCTTTAATAATGCAAAAGCATACACTTCCTTTTTCCCTAGAAAGTATTACTTTCTTTTTTGTTTAAGAAATTAATTAGACTATACTTCTCTTTAAGTCTATTAAAATCGTGTCAAAACATGTACTTTTTAAATTAACAATCTTTTATGATTAACGTTAGTTTATAGAATATAGGTAGTACTAGTCAGTGCCCCTTAGTGGATATATTATTTTGATGATAAATCACAATGTTGAAAAAGATAAATAATTATGTATCGATGTTAATTATATGACAAACAATATAAGTAAGAATAATTAATTGAGTGATTAGATAAGATTACAAACATGGTGTTTTACATATTCACTAAGCAACACAAAAAAATTAAAAATGATATATACATAAAGCTCCAAAAGCTACATATTTTGTATAAGAAGCTATAAGAGTAGAAATAATTTAATAAGTGAATAAAAATTAATTTCAACAATTGACATGTCATTTTATCATACATCTTTAAATTAAAATACCACTTTAAGAAATATTTCTCTCCGTAATTACATATTGGATTATATATATCCTTAACCCTAGAATAAAGGCAAATTCACCAAACAATACTAATAAAAACCATGGAAAGAGGCCGGCGGCTTCATTGTTCTTGGCTCCTTGCCAAGTTGTTACCTAGTCCCTCTAGTCTCTACCATTATAAATACCAGTATATTTTCTCATTATTTGCACATCCAATTCTCTTTTCATCTCATTCACTAGCTACTCTTACTAGTAATCTAAATTCTTCAGTCTTAGCTTCTTCTTTATAATATCCTCTCCATTTTATTCCTTAGGAAAACAACACAATAATAATCATGGGTGTTATCACATGCACATTGGCCGACATCACCAGTCCAGTCGCCGCGTCCCGATTGTTCCAAGCTCTTGCCATTGACAACCACAACTTCATTCCTAAGACTTTCCCTCAGTTCGCTAAATCTGTCGAGTTTGTTGAAGGTGACTCCACCACTGTTGGATGCATCAAGAAGATCAATTTCCCCGATGGTTAGTTTTTTAACGACTAAATATTACATCCTCTGTATTTTTAAATGTATCAATTTAACTTTTGCACTATTCATGTATCATGTTTGATTTAATTTTTTATTATTATTTACATATCACTTTAACTTTTGCATTAAGAAATTCTCTTTGGTAACACTATACTTTTAAGTTTACTAAAGATAATACAGTATGTTTTTTGCAATTCACCACTATAAAAACTTAAAAATACGGTATATCATTAAAATAATAACAATATCTATTTTCATTATTTAATTTTGTTACAATCTCTACTAAAAAGCAATTAAATAAACTAATGGTCAAAGTGACATCTCGATAAATGTATCGTGAATTCATAATGCATTTAAAAAAAAATACAAAGTATGCAATTTTCTTGTGTTCGAACTCGTAACATCAACTAAATATAACTAGTAGAGCACCTTACCATATATTACTACATAAATAGTTTGACCTTGTTTACAATATACATAGTTTGACTTTTAGGTTTCTCAAATCTCAATGCATAAATTTAATCATTAATATTCTACTGATTATTTTTGCAGAGGCTCCATTCAAATATGTGAAAAATAGAGTGGACGAGATTGATTCCGGCAACTTCTACTTAAAGTACACTTGCATTGAAGGAGATGTGTTCCCTGATACAGTGGAGTACGCTGTGTACGAAGACAAGTACGAGGTATCCGAAGCCGGAACCAGATGCAAGATGGTGGCACACTACCACATGAAGGGAGAGAATGTGATGAAGGATGAGGATCTTGAGAAGGCCAAAGAAGGAATTCAGAAGATTTTCAAGGCTGTTGAAGAGCATCTTGTTGCCAATCCTCAAGTTTATGCTTGAACTACACTAAATTATCCAAGTCTAATGAGTGATGAATCTTTAATATTTATTATGTTTTCAATTATTAGATCGTTTTCTATTGTGAAGAGAAATAATGTCATTTAAAATGAGATTATGTAGTGTGTGTGATGATGTCCTTTGCTTTTTCGTTGATGATTTGAGAAAAAATAATGATGTTTGAGAAAGTGTTGGGGTGAGATAAGAATTTATTAGGCGATGTTGTAACTTTCAACTGACTATACAAATCTTTTTCAGCTTCTCAATACATGCAGCATTTTGAATTTTTTATCGGTTTATACTTCACTATGTTTCATGGCCATTTTGGTGGTCATGTTTTGACTTTTGCTACTATTCACATAAACTTCTTTAACTTTATTTTGTGATTTATTATGTACTTAAGAAATTAAAAAACCTAAGTCGAATGGAGTTTTATGATTCGTCCCAACATCTATAAACTATATATCGATAAAATTTAAATAATCTTTGGCTGTGTATAATTTTTAAAGATATTACCCCCTTCCTTTTTTTAAGTTACATTTGTTATTTTCGTCTGATTTTTTTTAAAGCTATGTTTTCTCTTTTGGAAACTCTTATAGTTTAATAATATACTTTTATTTGTTAATGGTCCTCACTCTCTCTTACTTTATCATTTCTCACTCTCTCTTACTTTATCAATGGTCCCCATTCCCTCACTCACCACTTTACTCTTCAATAAAATAATAATAATTTCATTATCTTTCTTATAATTTTTTATCACCTAAATTACCCCACTAAAACTCCGCGCGCGCAATCTCAAATCTAGCTTTAAAAAAAATGGAGAGAGTATTATTTATAGATGCATTGACAAACGCACTTAAATGAAATATACATGTCAATGCAACTAAATGAAACGGAGGAAGTATTAACATTAATCTTATCATTAATTTACATACACCCTCTAGGGTTTTTTTTTTTTAATTACTCAATTACCAAATACGCAATTTAACGTGTGGGTAAATAAAAGATAGTTAAAAGTAACATAGAATAATGACCAAACTTAGTAAGTGATAATTAAATTGGTCAACAACCATTGGTGAGTGGGTAAGGTTTTCGATCCTCAATGTGCACTATATTCATTTAATTTTTACTTATGTAAAACTTAGTTTATCTAAATATAATTAAACCTGTTACATCCTATATGTAAAAATTTATTTTAGTTGTAATTTAAACTTAGATAACCCTTATCAGATCTTATTTTTCACGAACTTGCTTGTTTTATTTGAACTTAATAAACTTATTGTGGCCATTTTGGGGAAAGGGGGCATTTTGTGTGGGGGGAATGGTGGTGACCAGTTTAGAGCTGGAGGAAAAGGGAGGGGACGAGTTCCGATGGTTGGGCTAGGGATGATGGGGTGCACCGGAGGTGAGCGGGGGGGGGGGGCTGCGTGGCTAAGGTGGGGAAGGGGGTGCCGATGGTTAGGTGGCTAGGTAAGTTTCAGGGTCTTTATATTTTATATTTTTCTTTTATTTAGCTAAAGTTATGGTGACACGTGGCACCGTGTCCCCCACTTATTGGATTTTAGTAACGAATTTTTGAATGGAATCCGTAAAGTGGTGATAAAATCTAATTTTTGAGCTTTTTGTGGTGTTAAATAAAAGTTTTTTTTTAATAGTGTTAAAAATAATAATTTCAAAAAAAAATTTGGTGTTAAAAATCAAAATTTTCCTATTATGAAAGCAAATTAAATGTATTGCAACTTGTCCCGCAATTTGGTGTGTTTGTTGAACATTGCATGTTTGACAAATTAGGGTGAGAGAGAATGATAGAATGTCTTGTTTCATTATTCACCAGTAGGTAGAGTATTATACAAAACCTAAGATCATAAGATAGGAAACAATATTCCTAAAGGATATACTATTATAACCATATATCCTAAAGATATATTCACTAAATGTTATCTTAACATAAATAAATCTAAATATATTATTCTTCTAATAAGATCAATACGGAAAATATATCACACATATATTTTCCGACATCTCATATCTCTAACACCCTCCCGCAATCGTAACGGCAGTAACACGAACGTTACGATTGGAAATTCCACTTTGTTGAAGCGAGATGCATGTCGCCTTCATTTTTTTTTTTCTTCAATGATGAGGTGAGAACATTGTCTTTTTCGAACTCATTAATCATCAATCAAGCATGAACGTCATTCTTTTCGAACCTGCAAATATAACAATTTTGTTTTTTCCTGAGCAAAATCGAGCTCCAATCAAATATTGGTTTTTCAGAGTAAAGCACACTCATATCTCTTATTGGTTTTATTTAAGAACAAAACCAAACTCATATCCAAAGGAGCAAAATCCTACCTGTCTCACGGCACAAGAAGAACCAACAAATAAACCCTGTCTCACGGCACAAGGAGAACCAATATATCTTGTCTCACGACACAAGAAAGCCATTTTTTTTGTTTTATTTTTTAAAAAAAAATATTGCATCAAACGTGGCTTTTCTTCATCTCCATGGAGATGTATTACGGAGAAAACTCACTCACATACTCCAACAAAATCACATACCATCATATATGAATATATGATGGATTACTCACGTATACCTACCAAAAATTCAAAGAATAGAAATTTCAAAGAGTATTAATATTGCATAGCGGAAGCAAATTTTTGAATCCCACCGGTGGGTAGGCCTGTTCACGGTTCGAATATCTGATCCGAAATTACTACAAAAAAATGACCTTATAGAAACGGAATTCTAGCGACGAAATTCAATCTATTTCTAAATTAGAGACGGAATTAAAAAATCCGTCTCTAAATTAATTTAGAAACGGAATCAAAAAATCCGTTTCTAAATTAGAGACGGAATTTAAAAAATCCGTCTCTAAATTAGAAACGGAATTGAAATCCGTCTCTAAATTAGAAACGGATTTTTTTCCGTTGCTAAATGTAGATACGGATTTTTTTTTTCCGTTGCTAAATTAGAGACGGATTTTTTTTTTTGTCCGTTTGCTGATATGAGTGATGGATTTTTAATTCCGTCTCTAAATTATTTTCGAAACGAATTATGTAAAATATTACTTTAGAGACGAATTATGTTAACTAAAATCGGTCTCTAAACTAGAAACGGATTTTCAATCCGTCTCTGTGATTTTCAATCCGTCTCTGAACTAGAGACGGATTTGAAAATTCGTTTCTAAACTAAAGACGGATTTTAAATTCCGTCTCTAATATGTCTTTCACTTATCATCAATTATGTGCGTAGAAGTAAACAAATAATAGTTGGTAAGAGTTTCACTATGTGACTTAAAGGTCACGGGTTCGACTCTTACCTATTGCGATTCTTGAGATTGAGATTCTAGGAGCCTTACATGCAAAGCCAAGTCGGGTTGACCCGAGTGAGGTTGAACCGAAGAGCATCTACTTTTAGACACAAAATAATTTATTTTTTTAAGTTGCTGATATGACCGACAAATTTTTTTTCCGTTGCTAAAAACAGCGACAGAAATAAAAACCCGTTGCTAAGTTCAGCAATGGAAAATAAACAAATACAACGTCGCTAGTCTCATTTAGCGACAACAATTTTACCAACGGAATAATTCCGTTTCAAAATCTGTCGCTACCTATATTTAGCGACAGAAAAGTACAATCTGCAACGGATTTGATATGTTGTTAAATGTCTATTGTTTGTAGTGAATGTGATTTCGGATCGGATATCCTAATGATATCCAAATCTGATCCGAAAATTTCGGATATCCGATATTCGGATATCCAAAATTTTCGGATCGGATGTTTCGGATATCCATTATCCGATATTAAGTAAAATTGATTATGATTACTTTCTAAATTTCACTAATTTTACTGCTTTTTTCTCGTTCGGTTGTACAACAAATTTTAACAAAATAGTAGTCTTTTTGCAATAAAAATGATCATCAAATATATTAAGAATATTATAATAAGTTAATAATGCAGGATAATTTTTATATGAACAATTTCAAATTTTTATATATATTTCACTTTTCAGCCTTTATATTTCGGATATCAGATATTCGAAATTTCGAAAATCAATATCCAAATCCACATCTGATATCCGCTTTTTCGAATCGGATGTCCGATCCAAAATGAAAACTCGGATCGGATATCCAAAAATTCGGATCGGTTGCGGATCGGATTATCGGATTTTCGGATTCTCGGATAGTTTTGTACAGGCGTACCGGTGAGTTTAACTTTCTAACCCACCGGCAGGGGAAAATTTTTGTGAACGGTCCCAAGATTTAACCTGCCTTTGATACCATGACAAATTAGGGTAAAAGAGAATGATAGAATGGCTTTTTTTTATCATTCATCAATAGGTAGAGTATTTATAAAAAAAAACTAAGATAATAAGATAGAAAACAATATTCCTAAAAGATATACTACTATAACCATATATCCTAAAGATATATTCACTAAATATTATCTTACCATAAATAAACCTAAATATATTATTATGCTAATAAGATCAATACGAAAAATATATCACACATATATTTTTCAATATCTCATATCTCTAACTATATTGTCTATCAGCCTTTGTGTAACATACAATGTGCGTTGATCCAAAAAGGCATATTTATATATGCATGGCCATCACGTCGAAGCAAAGAAACTAGATTGTATGAATCAACAAACACAATAATAGACTTTAATTATGTTAGAAGACAATGGCGGAGCCAGGAATTTCAACCGGGGTGACAGACTACAATCGTCCCACAATTTGAGGGAAAAAAAAAGTACTTTAACAAATAAAAAGTTTATTACTTAAAATTTAACAACCTTAAAATCCAAGATGCTTAGTCATACGATCAAAGAAAGATGAAAAATAATTACATAAATTTTAGAGTTTCATTCTTTTCAACATGAATTGTTAGAGATCGGATCGATTTCTCATTGAATTGCTTAGACCTGGTCGAATTAGATGAACTATTTTACATTTCATAATTAAATTATATTGAAAAATATGAATCAACTACCAAATCGTTTATTTAAAACTACGGATTTTCAAATAATGTGTAAAGTTGGATTTCAATTATAATAACTTAACAGAACATTAAAATTAACAACCGTGATAAAATAACCATTTTTAATTCAATATTTCAACAAAATAACTCAATTGATCCGGTGGTTAGAAACTTGTTATTGAGTTACTATAGACACCTAAAAATGTCTACCCAAAACCAAACTCGATGATGAACAACCTTTCACCGCCATTATTAGTCGGGTCGAGTATTTAATCTCGGGAGTGCTTAAAATCCATGTTCAGTCA